TTTTTTTTTTTTTTCTTTTAAATATTTTTTACAATGTTATTACTTTAAATTATTTATTTGATTTTTAAAAAAATAAATAAAAAATTTTATATCAATTTAAAAAAAAAAGGCAAATATTTTTTTTTTTTTTTTCTATACCTTAACATAATAATTGAATTTTTTTTTTTTTAAAATAATTTTTTACAATCGAAATATATAATATTAAATATATTTAAGTACAATTCATTAAAATTAAAAAAAAAATTTTAAATTTTACCCAAAAAAAAAAAAAAATATTTTATTGAAATTTATTTTATTTATTTATTTATTTATGGCCGAAAACTAAAAAAAATTTTTTTCTTTTTCGTAAAAACAAACGCATATAAAACAAAAAAAAAAAAAATAATAATTACGATATTTATATTTAAAAAATTACCGTAAAATTATTTAAATATCATTTTTACATAGTAAAACTTAAATTCCCTTACATAAATAATAATAATAATGTAATAGTACTAATAGCAAATATTGGTCACGAACACGAAAGTACACGGTAAATATCTTAAAAATTATAAAAAATAATATAAATAAATATTAATAAAAAACATAAAATCTATTTGAATCCCCACATTATGTACGATTGAAAGTTTTGAAGAATATTAAAAAATTTTTTTTTTTTAAATATAAAAAGTTTAAACTTATTTGTGACATTATATTCTTAAACACCGTTTTTACAAATAATATACCTTTTTTTTAGAAAAATAATAATAATAATAATTACAAAAAAATATTAATACTAAAATAAAAATGATTTCATTGATTTAAACCGTTAAATAAAAATATATATAAAAGTTTTTATTCAAGGGTTAAAATGTAAAAATGAATGGGTAAGTTTTTTTTTATTACTGTGAAAATATTACTTAATTCTATACTCGCTGTTTTGGAAAATAACTTGGAAAAGCTGCATTCCAAATAATTGCAATTAACATGAGAACGGAATAGAAAAAAAAAGAAAACCATCGAAGTGTTTTTTCCCACGTTCGAACCCTGAAATTTCTTAAAACGTTAATACCGACGAGAAGTCCTGCAACCGCTCCTGCCAAATGTGCCACGTAACCAACCTATAAAAATACAAATAAATGTTTACATTTTTTTTTTTAAAGACATTTCTATTGACAGAATAGATTTTAAAAAAAAATAAATTCTAACCTGGTCGTTCACATCTAATATATAACGATTATAAATTGCCGTTCCAACGTCGGTTATTGCTAATATTATAAAAATTAATAACTGAACCCAAGCAAATCGTTTTTCCGTCCAATTCTAAAAAAAAATTTTTTTTTATTTTATTAAAAGTCATTTTTATAAATTATATTCCTATTAATATAACTCAATACCATTATAATTGAAGCAACATGTGCAGCCATAATTGCATAAACACCACCACTTGCCCCAGCCAAATATATGGATGGATCACTGACAGATGTTGCCAATGAACCTGCTACAACTCCTGCTAAATAAACAAATAAAACTCTCCACCAGTGATGAACCATTTCCAAAGGGATTCCAAGCATAATCTGAACTAGAAGATTTACTAATAAATGGAAAATACTATAATAAAAAAGGAAACATAATTCATCATAACATTTACATTCATAAGAGTTATAATATTAATTTCATTTCGATCAAACTAAGTAATGAAAAGAGTTTGATATTTATTTGAGTTTGAACATACCCAATGTGAACAAACATGTATGTTAAATATCTCCATGCTTCTGCCCTTCGATGTGGATTGTAAATAAATAAAGATGCTAATATGGTAGTGGTAGATGGCTGGCCAGGTTTTTGATCGATTGAATCATAAATGTAAGCAAACAACTGTAATTAAAATTTTTAAAGAATTACATTATTTTACTACTACTGATTTGGTAATAAGTTCAAATTTAAATAATAATTACATTGAAAATTTTTTCATTTAAATGTTATTTTAATTACCTCTAATACTGTAATTATAATCATAAATAATGGCGGAGGACAACAAGAATAATGTTCTTCATATTCAATTTCTGCATCTGTTACATCACCCGTGTACTCGGCACAAATTCCTTTTTTAGGCACAACACAAACTGTCTGAACCCATTTATCTAAAGAATTTGAAAACAATCCTCTAGCTTCTCTGCTACTTTTAACTAATGCTAAAAATTCATTGAGATCAAGGACTCCATCTTCATCTGTGTCTGCTTTTTTAAGAATTGATCTAATCGTACTGGCTGGAATTTCACTATTGTATTCTTTTATTCTTTTTTTCAATTCTTTAAAAGAAATTTTCCCATCTCTATTTTTGTCAAACTTGTTAAATATTTCTACCCATTTCTAAAAATAAAAATTTTTAGGGTATAATTTAATTTTATTTTGTTATATGTTATAAATTTTGTTTTTTTTTATATTTTATTCAAACAGGATTTTCCGAAAAACATTTGAAGACACTTTTTACATAAAGTGTATAGCTAAAGTTTTTTTTGAAAATGCAAATGTGTTATTAATCAGAGAATTTGGAAAGTAGATCAAAAAAATATAGATAAAATTTAGAATGACTCATCACCAATTTTACAGGTAATTTTTGCAGCATGATTAGATATGATAACAAGTCATTTTTTTCCTGAAATCTCATGATTCATTTATGTCCTAGGTATTAGGATTTTTTACGATTCGCCAACTCATATTATTTATTTTTTTTTTAAATTTTCAAAAAAAAAAAACAACAAAATTTAAAAAGTCTGACTTATTGCGAGCGCCAACAGGAAATTAATACAACTTGTTATACGATGTTTAATAAAAATAGAGGGCATTTTTTAAAAACACGTATGTCAGTTAACGGTAAAATTTTCTGATTAGAAACAAAACGTAAATTAATAGTTATTATAATAAGTCCCGCAAGTTTTTTATAGTAACTTTAATTGAAAAATTAATGATAAGTATTTTCATTTTAATTTTATTAATATATGAAATATTCAAAAATCTTACGTTTGGATTTTGTTCGTGAGTAGCAACAATTCTTCGAAAATGTTGAAGTTCTACATCATCCTTATTACGATAATCTCGTTCATTGGTTACCATTTTAGCAATTATCAATTAATAACTATAAAAAAAGTTTACAAAAAAATTTATTATTGTAAAACAGCCTTAATCTGAGCATATTAACATTTTACAAATGAAGTGTTTAACAACAGAAGGTGTAACTTTATTTAATACCTTTTATCGTGCAATTAATTGCTTGAAAATTTCAGTTATTACGACAATTGTTTCAAAACAATTATATTTTTACGCGAAAATTTTGTTAAGTTTTTGTTAACATAAATGCACTACTTTTTCTTTTTATTTTAAAGATAAATTATTTTTACAGGAAAATAAAAATTAAACATGAATTAAAATCTATACCCATTTAATTTATAATTTATCATAGGGCGGCAAAACAAATAACTAAATATTATTACATTTATAAATGCATTATATAATTATTTTCACAGTTTTATTTTTTTAAAAAAAAAAAAAAAATATTTTAAATTTAAATTTAAATTAAATTTACTTTGGCAAAAATAAATTATTATGAATATAGATTAAACATTATGTCCGATTTAAAAACGAACAGGTTTGATTTATTAAATGTAATTAAAATTACCTGCCGATCAAAAGCTAAAATATAATTCAACAGATTAGAGAATACTACTACACATAAAAGGTATTGGCAAGCCCCGATTGACTGGGAAGACAAAAATATTACAGTAATTTATATTTATAACAAACCAATCATTCATCAAAAATTACAGTTACAAAATGAGATACTTAAATTGAGGTCACATTTTATTTATTCTATCCTTTTATTTAAACAAAATTGTTAATGGATATAAGATGTAAAAATATAAATACAATTTTTTCTAAAGAGCAACGCTTAGTCAATCAAACACTAATTTTTTTTGTTTTTAAAGTTTCGTCATTGACAATTATCGTACATTATTTAAGAATATCTTTCTTTAAATTCCTTGTCTAAATTAATTCATTGAGCAGTATCACTTGGTTTACTTTTTTTTATTTAATAAACCAAAAAATTTTTAACAAATATTTTGCCAGTAATATGAAATCACAAATTTAATTATATTTTTTTAATAAATAGTACAACATAAATATGAAGTATCAGCTAATCAAGCAAAACATTAATTAGGTAAAATTAACCTTTTATCATGATGATTTAACAAAGGTTCAATTTGGATAATTTTTAGCTGCTAATATACCCTTTTTTATAAATATATTGATTTTAATGTTTTTTACAATTAGTACTCATGAAAATTGTAACTCAATACCAATGGCCTTGTCTTTTTTTTTTTCGATTTGTCAGTCTTTGCCTTTTCAATACTGTTTATTAGCAATAACTGTTGGGATATGTAGTTATGCAAAAAAATTACATTTAAAATAGGAATATCATAGTTTTCTTAGTGAAAGCTATGCAAGATTTCGTATTTACACTAATTATATACAGTAATTTTTTTTTTTTTTCTTTTTTTTTTTTCTTTCTTGCAAAACTCTTTATACACATTTTAAAGCGCATGCTTAAATTTTGAAAATGTATGCCTAATGTATTATTATGAGATCTAAATTTATCCTTTTTTTTCATCCTTCATGAATAATTTTTGCAGCTTTTCTTTTATTCATGATAGCCTAACAATACCTTGTGGCTGGCATTACAATACAGTGGCAATATCCATTCAAAATCAAAAAAAAAAAAAAAAAAATTTACTTATTCAAAATAATGAATTAAAATGTTAACAACATTTGTTTTTCCTAAACTTGTTATTTGATTTTCTCAAATTTACAGTATCATTCGACTGATTAGCTTGTCTTTCTTTAGCTTCTAATTTTGTTCTTAAAACCTGCCTGGTTATCGACATAAACATCTGAAAAAAAAAAAAAAACAAAAATAATAATAATAAAATTAAAATAATATATAAATTTTAAATTAATCGAATAGCTCTATATATTACCTCTTCAACGTTAATGTTGTCTTTAGCACTTGTTTCAAAAAGCTGAAGAGACATTTGATCGGCAAACCTTTTTGCATCTTCAGTAAGAACTACTTTTCTGTCAGGGGTGTCATTTTTATTACCCACAAGTATTCTATTAACAACTTCACAATTGTTTTCAATTTCATGAATCCATCTTTTGACATTTGCAAAAGATTCTCCATTTGTCACATCGTACACAACTATTACACCATGAGTACCACGATAATACCTTTAAAAACAATTAATAATAATAATAATAAGTTTATGAAAATGATTATTATTAAAAAACAATTTAAATAAAAGATTTTAAATAATTGTCCACTTTGAAAAAAATAAAATAATTTTTTCAATCAATTTAAAAAAAAAAAATTTTATAAAATACAAAAGCAAACAAAATTTTCAAATTATTTCGTAATTACTTAATATAATATATTATATATTTTATTATTACTTTATTTATATTTATATAATAAATTACAACACTTTAATGTTTTGAGATTTTGATTTTAATTAGCCTTTTATTACTTAATATTTTTAGTAAAAGTAAGCGGTTAGTAATTTCTAAACTAATTAAACAAGAAAAAAAAAATTCTTTTACTTCTTATTTTAATAATTTTTATGAGTATTTAAATATTTTTTTCAATTATCAACTTTTTAAAGTATATCTAAGTAATTTTAATAAACCCAATGACTCAAGTTTTATTAAATTAATCACATTCCAACAACACCTACACAATTTCAAATTTTTTTTTTTTTTTTGGAACTCAGATATAGTTTGAACCATTTTCTTAGGAAAAATAATAATTAATTTTCTTTTTAGTTGATAATTTTACCAATGATGTGAATTTTTTTAACTTACAATAATAATATAAAATAAAAAATTTAGTAATAATAATGTTTAATTTCAAATAATTATTCTTACGTAGATGTTATGGTTCTAAATCTTTCTTGACCAGCAGTATCCCAGATTTGTAATTTAACTCTTTTATCATCAATAGTAACAGTTTTTATTTTAAAATCTACTCCTATTGTTGTGATGTAGTTACCAGAAAATGTGTTATCAGCAAATCTTACTAAAAGTGAACTTTTTCCAACACCTAAATTAAATGAAAAAAAAAAAGTAATAATTCAATTTAAAAATAATAATAATAATAATAATAAAATTTGAATACAATTTTAAATTAAAATTAAATGAAAATTATACTAAATAAGAAGAGCAAATTTTAAATTGGCAATGATTGCCTGGAATGGCACAATTTATGCTTAATTTGCAAAACTATTCATCATATAATTATTTATCCTTTCTTAATCCTTATTTTAAGAATTAGGAAAGTTTATTTAAAATTACATTTGAAAAAAATAAAAATATATTGTTTAAAAAAAAAAAATAAAAATAAAATCCAACACACTATTTATCTAAGTCTAAAGAATAATTCTTATTGTTTATAAAACA